ATCCTAAGTACTTTAATTTCAAGATCAACCTCGCGGTCGTCCGAAGACTTTGGTGACAATAGGCTATTGTGGAAGCTGATGACATACAATCTACGGCTGATTTAGCAACAGCTTTCGACGTTAGCATCAAAACAATATTGGTCCATTTACGTCAAATTGGCAAGGTAAAAAAACTTGACAAGTGGGTGTCCCACAAACTCAATGATCGCCAGAGCTAAGTATGCATCGAGCAGTGCCTTGCACTGCTCAACATAGTTGTAGTAGTAGTTAGTTCAGCACCTAAACAATACCCGAAACGAAAACTTACTCCTAGAAAAGTGATGGTCACTGATGGTCTAGCGCCAGTCTGATTCATCACAGGTTCTTACCAAACGGAGTGAGCATTACTGCGGATGTGTAATGTGAAGAACTGAACACAATGATGGAGAAGCTGACACATCTCCAACCAGCACTGGTCAATCGCTCATCTCCATTGCTCCTGCATTACAACGCGCGACCTAAAGCTGCACAACAGATGGTCTCCAAGTTACAAGAACTGGGGTTGGAAGCTCTCCAATATCCACCCTACTCACCAGACTACTTCTTTTCCAGAATTTGAATAACTTCTTCGCGGGAAAAAAATTCATTACCCGAGAGGCAGTACAAAATGCATTTAAAGAATTTGTTGCCACCCGTCCAGCTGATTTGTTTAAGAAGTATTTTGTGGCAGTTTATTGATGCCCAATAAACTGCCACTGCGTTGGCAACGATGCATTGATTACATGGGTGATTACTTCGATAAATACAAATAAAAAATACATGAAAAAAATCGTTTAAATTTTTTCATACAAAACGGCAATTTCAGTAAATAACCCATTAATTTATCTGATTTTGCTGAATAAATAATAATATAATCGTTGTTCCTATGCAGACTGTTATTATTAATCTAAATAAATACTTTGATATTGTGTTGTGTTTATTTATCCGATGTAAGCACCTGAGATTTTCGGTTGTTTCGATATATCCAGGTTGTTTTATCAGCCATTAATCGTCTTAGATGTAAATAAACATAAACATTTAACGATACAATTTCAATGTTATATGTCACATAAGTAAATTAGCCTGTTATTCATTTTAGTCTAAATTGGTAGTTGAGATAAATAGCTTGCTTCTATTTATTTTGGGTTTCGTTACTTCATACTTTTTGGCTTACTCTGTTAATAGAGTGCATCGTCGCTTAATTTTTTTCCCTTGTAGCCAATTGTAGTTATGAAGTCACTTAAATCATTTTTCCCGACTCTAAAAAAGGGCAGATTGTATTAAGCGACATTTATCTTTGTAATTAAAGGTCCGCTTTATTTGGAATTAGCATCAGCAACTAGATATTTTTATTTAAATTTCAATGCAATTTACCCCGTTCAAATATCTGCAGAAGCGTTTTTGTTATGAATTTTTTTTCGAAATTTCAAACTTTAAAAGGCTCTCCTGTAAAGTTGCAAAAATGTCGCTTAAACCAAATAGCCCGTTACCTCTCGATATATATTCGATGGAAAAAAAATGGTTGCCTGTAAAGTCGTTTTTACGGGCAAAAATTTTACGTGACAACGTCTTTTTCTCGGTAGAATATTTATTGATATGAATATAATTAAATTGCACAATAGGAACAAGGAATTGAATGAACTAGTGCTGCGCGCGCGGCAGACCGATCATAGTTGAGTGGGAGAGAGACGCAAGGCATTCGGCGGGCCTCTCTCTCGTTCGGTGACTCATTGTAACGTTACCGAGCGTTACACTTTTTCATAAGTGACTCCCAGCCGCAACCTAATTTAAGACGTTGTCACGTCAAAAAATTCGCCGTTTCTGAATATATATATAACTCAATATCGCCCAAAATATCGCTTAAACCAAATAGTCCGTTACCCCTCGAAATGTCATCTCGCCTTTTATCCTCGACGGGGCAGGCAAAGGTGCACATGACTGCATTTAAGCTACAGTACAATGTAACAACTATTCCAAATCAACCATAGGGCATCATAGTCAATCCAAATTAAAAATTGATTCTTTTATTTTAATATTCTAACGGAGTTCTTTATAAATTATAATTACTTAGAAAATGTTGGCTGAGAACAATTAACAAAGGCCTTTGATAAACTTTTGTTAAACGCTACCAACAAATTAAAAGCTTTATAATTATCATTTTTATGCTAAAGAGATTTTTAAAATGTTTTTGACCTACTTAAGTTTGTTTTATATTGATGAAATTTTGTGCCATCTCAATCTAATTGTCATAGAGTCCAAGTTTGAGTGACATTTTTACTCCAAAGTTATCATTTTTAAGCAACGTCGAATTTTATTTTTTATTTAAAGTCTTCTAGCATAGCCATCTCGATTTTGGTAGTACTGTATTTTTAATACATCAATAGCCACTGTGGCCACTGCTGACCAAAGGCCTTTTTTCACACGGAGGAGGTTTGAACATTAATCACCACGCTTGCTTAAGATGTGTTTAATACCTTACATTGGTATCTAATGATTATGACCGTTGCGTTATCTACAGAAGCGTTGCATAACTTCTTTATCTCTTAATGAAAAGACGTTTAATTTCAATATCACTTACCCTAAGAATCCCTATCATACTAGAACAAGTACCAATTAAAATAATAATTTGATTTCAAACCATATTAAAAGTTATAGAGCCTAGTTCAAAGGCCACCAAAAATAATTTCCGGCTAACTTTTTCCCTTGAAGTTGTGGAAATCCACCATATTTGAAATGACTGGCTCATGAATCAAACTTCATCTCAAAACGAAACGCCATACAAAGGAGGAACCGAGCAAACTAGAAAAGTTTTAATCGATTATATTTAAAAATAAAACTAAATTAGATCTGACGAAACTACATAGAAGCAAGATAGGTGTAGTTTCCAAGTCCTTGATATTAAAAAATGAACTCTATGCTTCATTTAAAAGGTTTGTTCTTTATTACGATATACTTTAAATAAGTAGATGTTCTATACAAAACCTCTCTACTTACTTTGGAAGGAAGGCGCGATGTTAATTTACATTTTAAGAAGTACAATCGTTCTCGATTAAGCCTCATCACAAATGCATCTTGTTACTAATTCAATTTGTCTCTTTCATCCATTAATTCTATCTCCCTTATTTCATCTCTCCGAATTCTGTATTATTGTACATTTTCTTTGGAAAATACTCTCGAGTCGCATTTGTAAAGGTCAGGATATTCTGAACGGTTTTTTCACCGGATTTTCTTTTCAAAGATTTTTGCTGTGATCGCCTCCAAGCTTCGACACGTGAACGTCAAATGTTTTTGTTGAGGAAAACCGAATGGAATAGTTTAAGATTATTTTTTTGAATCTTGTGTGTTGCTAGTTCCTTATTCCCCAAACGATAGACCTTATGTGCTCACTCCATGAGAGAAAATAAGTTTTGCCAAACAACTGCGAAACTCGTTTACTTATCAAGATTTACAGACAAAGTCAAAAGTCCAATATTTAGGGCAATATGCCGTTTATATGTATAAAGAACTTTGTGTAATAACGAACTTTTTGTATCGCAAACAAATTCAGGAAATTGTAGTTTATTATTACGAGGAATGTGTTGTTCTACACAATATTGACCTTTATTAAAAAGTGAATTATTTTTAAATGAAATATTTTATAGAAGATACCAAATTCGTATTAAACCTGTTGTAGCAATATTACTGAGTATTTCAAAAATGTTCTTAAATCATCAATTTGAAATGAGATCTTGTTTCAACAGTCACTTTTATGACCTTGAAATTATCAATAATGAATTCACATAAACATTTATTGTCCCCTAGCATCTTAGATCACCATAATTCCAGCATTTCAAACAAGCAAAACATAAGACGCTCCACGAAAGCCGTCGGTATTATATCAGATTGTAGATAAGGACGATATTCAATTGTAACTCCGTACAATCCTTGGTAATTCTGACCATTGCGAGCACCGGTAATCCATGGCAATGCCTGGACATCTATAACCACTGGTTGGCAGAAAATCTGGGATATTGCGGTATTTCTTGTTGCTTTGTCCAGTTCAATTAGAGGAGAATTGAGACGGTAGTGTCTGAACTGAATTGAATGGGCTTATAGTTATTGCCGCAGATGCTTGGGTGAATCGTTTTGATTAGATACGTAGTGGGTATGTAAGATGTAGTTGCTTTATTGTCTATTGGTGTAGCGTCTGATGGTGTTAGTTATAGAGTATGAATCTGTAATAAGACATTAAACATAATTTTAGAGTTTACAGTTCTGAATTTATATAATACTGTGTACCGATAGTCTGTGCCGTTGGGTTCGAGTTTGAACTTTGAGGTCGTAATCATAACATCATGGTAGTCGAATAATCACTTATAACCTAGTCAATTTACACATAAACTTACTTTTCGAACTACTTTCTTAAAAAAATAATAATTTTGTCCTGTGTCGTAGGTGTTTTTCAAATATACAATATGTGATATTGTACTGATACACATGACATCCAGACCCGAAACAACAATTTGTGGATCACACAAAGAGTTGTGTCGTGGGAGAATCGAAACCGGTGCACGTTGCACGGCAGCCACTTGCCCAGCCACCGCGCCAACCGGGCAGTCAAAAACTCTAATAGGTACCAATGGCTTACAGCACTATAGATAAAAAATTTCTTCTATGTAACATATCATTTACAATATGGCCACTGCTGAACTAAAATCTCCCCGAGGACTTCTAAGATCAGCCAAGAAGTAACTTTCACCCAGCTGTGGCTCATTGCGACCTTTGCTGCCGTACTTATTTAATGTCAAAATCAAAGTCAACATTTTTTATTTCATTTAGACCAGGAAGGCACAGTTGAAAAAAAAACATTAAAAGTGAAGCTATTTGCTCGTTCCAAAGTGTAGATTCCTATGGAGAAGAACGAGCAAGAAACTCAAACGAATACTGAACCTAGTCAAAAAATATCAATAACACGTATTAACATTATCTCTGTCTTGTTACAGCCACATCGCTAGTGACGTATGCAGGAGAGCGATACGACTTCATATTGGAGGCTAACAATGAAATAGACAACTACTGGATCCGGTACCGCGGTCTGATGGATTGCGACGAAGTGTGAGTATCACATCTATCTTCTATACATATAATAAAATCGTAGAAAAGTCAAAACTGTACATTGAATATTTTTCTCAAAAAGTACTGCATGGATTTACTTGAAATTTTGTATGATTATTAATATCAGGTTGGGTCAACATATAGGCTACATATTATCACGCTATCACCTATGGCGTAAGCGCAGTAAATCGTTATTCCACGAGAATGAAATTGCGGGTGCAGCTAGTGTATATAATAATAATCATGAATGCGAGAGTTTGTGCGACTGAGTGTATGTTTGTCACGCAATGACGTCAAAACAGCTGAAGGGATCGGTCGGGGATAACACGTAGTCCACTTTATCACATAGCAATATAGGCGAAACCGCTGACAGAAGCTAGTCTCATCATATGATATATATCAAAACAGTTATAGCTCTAATGTTCCATTGACACAAATGTGCCCTTTGGGAAATTATTATGAATGGGTTATTGGCAGTAGAATACTCTTTGAATTATAAGTGAAAGAGTTGTTTGAGTCTGTTTATCGTAATGTTGATTTTTTGTCGTTTTGACTTTTTAGACTGTATTTTTTACTGTCCTTTAAGGTTATATTTTTTTTCGATCTCTTTGATTGTGTTACATTGTTCTCGCACAATACAAACAACAAAACTATGTAACCAGAAAATTGTATTGTGAATCTGATTGAAAAAGAGTAACCTATGGAGTTTCTTGCTCGTTCTTCTCCATAGGAATCTACACCTTAGAATGAGCAAATAGCTTCACTTTTAATTTTCTGGTCTAATTAAAATAAACGATTTTGCCGTTTTGGCTTTAATAGTTTCGACAGTGAACAAATCTTCTATCGCTATTCTAGATATTAAAATAACGAAACTGATGTAGATGTTCCTTCACTTATTGTTAGTTATGGAACATAGATTCTAGATATAAGCTTACCACCTACCACATACATTTCTGCACTACCCAAAGGATGACTGGCAGAGAATGCTGTTAGCATTAAGTCCTCCTTATGCAATTGTATAAAACTTAAATAAATAAATAAATAAATAAATATAAATTAGTGCCAAAGAAACTAGACGAAGTTTGGAAAGCACCACATCTTTAGAATCTTATAAAGTAGGACAAAACCTTCTGTTATCCTCTCTGTTAACCACGAATGTTGACAATGCAATATTTACGATGTATATATTTTTTAAACAGATTCACGAAAGCTAAGCAAGTTGGAGTCCTGCACTACGAAGGAGCTATGGATTTGGAGCCGCCTGGTGACCCCACATGGGAAGAATTGCATAATGAAGGATTGGTAAGTGGAAAACCAATCTTAAAATTCTATACAGAAAAAAAAATCACTATGCCAAATGAAAATCACTGAATTGGCACACAATATTTTAAATATTGATTTGGAGTTCCTAACTGGCTGGCTTCAGATGGGAAACTTTGATAATCTCCTATATAAAAGACATTATGATAAAATTCATAGTTCATCCATTCCATTCTGTTGACGGCACGATTGGGGCGGAGATTGGACAGCCAGCTGGCGAGTTCAATTCCCGCACGGAGCAAATCTTTGTGTGATCCACAAATTGTTGTTTCGGGTCTGGGTGTCGTGTGTATGTGAACTTGACACAATATAAAATCCTAGTGTGGGGCAGCGTTATTTAAATAAAAAAAATTGCAAGACTGATTTTTAATATCCAACTTAAATAATATATCTGTTTATCAAAAAAACAAAAAAAAACAACCAAAAAAAGGACACACGCATAATTCTAAACTACGGTCCATTCAACACCTTGGCAACGGTCGGCCCATGCAAATATTTAAATAATAAATTCGGTAAAAGCGCCATATCATTGCATATTCAACACTAGTACCGCCCAAGGTCACATTTTAACCCTATAAAATTGTATTGGGTAAAGTTTCCTATACATCGGTGTACAGTATCGCACCCTTGCGGCTCGTAAAAACTTAAGGATAGTAACGGGAACACATCGAACTATACATAAACAATTTATTATGAACTCGTTTTGTATGACCTTTCCGTACGTTCGACGATCAGCTTATACTGGGTTTGCGTAGCTTGATGTGCAGCTGGGCACATTCCCTCTATCATGAGATGACAGCTTCCTTACTGTTATCAAAGATACGCATAATAAAGTGATATTTATGGACATCTGTTTTGGGGTTTGGCCAGTTAGAGGGGACTGAAGTTTTATGGTGAATGGTGAAGTTATAAAAATCTTAGTTTTAAAAAGAATGATGTAATTTTATTGATACTCCCCGAAGAAATGCATGGAGGTAAATTTAACGTAAAATATTTAGACAATTTTAGGATTGGGTTTAGAATCAGGCAGTGGTTCTATGACGAGCATAAGGCGTGCGATAAGTAGCTTAAATTGTCAAACACCAAGCGGTCACCGGTGACCGTAACCTATTGTTCTATAATTGTGTCTACAAAACCGGTACTCGACGGGTTAAGATTAGGAGTAGTTATAGTAGTGTGTAGTTCGATTCCCGGGTCGGGCAAAGTATTACTGGGTTTTTTAAAAAAGAATCTCAGTAGTAGCACGGAGTCTGGAATTGTGCCCGGTATTTGGCAATAGATTCAGCCTCTAATACATGGGACTCATAACATAAATAGTGAAAAGTGGGTGCTATTGTTGTCTGTCCGGGCAGACAAAAATTGTAAATATTGTTATTTTGGTATGTGTATGTATAGTCATGCTTTTTACTACATGCAAAAACATGTAGTAAAAAGCATTTTTTTACTATTATATTTTAATATTATAAACAGACGATCTAATTTTATTTATCTGTATAGATGAATCTTAGGAGCTGTATCAAAGACATAATACTATTATTTAATTCACTGAATTGTAAAATGTTTTAGTTTCCTCCTGAAATGCCAGAATAATCCTATTATGCGAGTTTGTAGTAATTCAATGTCGATGCCTCTCAGTATTTCAGAAATGTTCAAAATAGCTAGAATAGAATTATCATATAGATATATAGATAATAAACAACCAGAGGTCGTTGTACTCGTGAAATTAACTCGAACATGGTAAATAATTGAAGTAAGATATTAATATCTAAGGAAAGAAATAGTAACCACCAAACTATTTCTATTTAGAACTCAAAATAAAAAAAAACATATGAAAGAAAGAAGAAGAAAGAAAGAAATTACATTTTTTCTTTCTTTCAAAAAACATATCAGTTATATTCTTCAAAGAAATAGACTGTTTCACATCACACATCACACCAACAGCCTATAAATACCCATTACTGAACAAAATCTCTTCTGGCACGAAGAAGGTTTGAGCATTAACCACCATGCTCGCTCAATACGAGTTGGCGGTTTCAAACTTATAGTTAGAAATTTTAAGTCCAGGTTTCCTCACGAGGTTTTCCTTTACTGTTTGCCAGTCCATGTTAATTTTAGCACTAGTGCAATAAGGCCCATTGGTATCGATTGGCTAACTTGAATAATAAATTTAATCTTAGTTCGACACAATTCTAGTACTCGTATTTGCAACTCAACCATCAGAGAGCCAATAAACTAATAATCAAATTTAAACTGTGTCAACACAGTTACAGCGTTAAATGTTAACGAGGTTGACATTCATGCTTCAGTGCTAATAAAATCCCTTTTTTCAACTTCATTCCTACTAAAACATGTCCAAAAAAAGACTGTAAAAACAGGCCCCCAATTACGTATGTCCTAAATTCATAAAGATTTTTTGCAGGTCTAAGGGGCGCCACACACGCTCATACTAGCACTCGTTCACGACCGACCCTGCGCAAATGTCGTTTACATGGTTACGTTAGCGTAACGCGTTTTGCGCCTGCGATGAGCGGGATAAACAATCATGCGTTTTGTACGGGGGCCGCTAGTTCGCGACAACATGGCCAGCGACCGATTGTCATGTTCACGTACATCGTAATTACTGCTTTGTTTTCGTCTACGAATTGTAAAGACGCTGACTTATGTAATGTCAATGTCAAAGCTACATTCGCGAAGGCTCGTGAACCAGTGCGAGTATAAGCATTTGCAGCACCCCTTATTCATTAACTCTTTTCATTCTCAAGGTCAAACTTTTTGCTTTTTGTTCAGTTTTCTTTTCGGTAATTTTCAAAGAAATGGATCGGTTCATTCTGTCTGTAAACTTCTTAATTTACTAAGTAAAGTTCTCATGGTGATTTTTAGTGGTTTTAAAAGTTTCCAGAACTTTGAGTGGTGCTGTGAATGTCAGGTAAATGTGGTTGCAATGGCAATGAATGGAAAACGAGTTGATTTTTTATTTCAATTAAAACATCGTAAAATTTATTGGAATTGAATTTTCTCGTTAGCAATGTATAGATGTATGTCTTGTTGGTCGTGCGAGAGTTATTAGGGCCGGTAACGCACTGTGACTCCTCTAGTGTTGCGGGTGTCCATGGGCGGCGCTGATCGCTTATCATCATGCAGTGATCTGTCGGCTCGTTAGCCTCCTAACCATAAAAAAAAATCTTAATTCTTTGAAGTAATGTTATAATTTCTATAACATATTCATCAAGTTTCTAACAGCAGTATTTGGATTAACCAGAATTTAGTTCAAGATTCTAACAAGGAATCTAATATCGATTGTAAGATGAGTATTCCAAATATCTTGAGGCTTCAACAGCATAAGTCTGAGACATACGAGACAATCTCTAAATAGCTCTAGCGAATAATTATAGAACTAGCAAAAGGCTTACTTGAGATGTTATTGAATAGAATAATCATCAACAGCCTACTGCTGGAATATTGGTCTTCCTACACAACAGGGTTTGCACTAATCTCCATGCTTGGCTGATGAGTCAGAAATCGCATTATAAGGGGTTCGCATTATATTTATCAAACAAAACTGCTGCCTCGTTTCTGTCATAAGTGAAATCGCTTAATCCGCTGTAGTGAGACCCGTAGGAAGAGCAGAAGTGAGGACAACGAAATGTACTCTAACGTCAAATATGGTATGAGATCAGGGCGAATTTCTATTATTTCTCATAGAGAAACAAACTTCCATCATTGATTTAAACTATTTCTAGAAATAGCATCGTTAAATCTGAGACCGTATGCTCATTAGACAGACAGTATACCTATTCTCATATTTGTAATATCCACTGCTCTCCTAGTTTCGTCAGACGAATATCGCCAGTCAACCGCAACGGTCCACCTCGCTGGATTTTCATGAGCTCTTCAAACGCCAATGTGCTATAATCGTATTCTCTTATGACCCAAATTTGAATCTAAGAGCTATGTCGAATGATTTTGAATGTAGGTTAGTATAATTTCGAATGTAAAGTACCTGTGCCAAGTTTCTTTTTAGGTTGGAGGTTTCCAAATTATAAAGTTTAAGAAATGACGCTGTAAAACTACTCACTAGCCTTTAAGTATTGCCAGAAATCGGCTCCCAATCATAATTTTTTTTTATATCAAACTCATTACATGCCTAGTATGCAACCAAATGACAAGTCACAACACCACGATTTATAACATAGCAGTCAAAAACAAATCAAGAAAACTTCCTAACTCAACACATGTACGACAAATCATCTTTCGGAACCAAGAAAACCGTGACCTAATTACACCCGCCCTTATCTTCATAACTCTTCATAATCAATTCTGGAAGCCACGCCACTAACAAAGAACTATACGATAATCCCTTGTCGGCAGAACAGCATTAGGCAGGTCACAAAATCAAATCGTTTGCAGATGTGGTGAAATTATCCCTTCGGTATAACGACGGTAGTAGCAAGCTGGCAGTACGCCAGACACTATCTGCGAAGGCTTTGCATGCAACGATTAGAATAATGTACTGGTTCCAAGTAAAATATTCTAGAGTTACTATCAGGGCTTCTTCGGAAGATCGATTGGGCTAATGTGTTTGGTTCAGTGTTGTTTATTAGGTCCATTGTGTGTAGGTCGTTAGGCGGTGTAATTTTACTTTGGTCTTAGATATTTGTTTTAGTTTTGTAAGTCTTAGAATTGTGTGGTAATGAATTTTTGTCAATAATGTAACATAAAATATTAAAAGCAAAAAGACGTTGCAATGAATCAATGTAATTGAAGAGAAAAACAAAAATCATTCTAGATGCGGCATTATAACAACCGATACTAATTTTCGTCCATATTTTATGAGGATAGTAACTATCGGGAGGCTGCATAGCCAGCTATTAGTCTTTTTGAATGGATAAAAATCGTGAGTGTTAGCGATAACAAAATGGATGTGGTTATACCTATCTAACATTATGAGCTATAAGATGTGATAGCTACTATGTTCCGAGCTGTCGTATAATCTATAAAAGCAGAACATTCAGTCTTAAATCGCTACATTAACCTGCATCCATGTTAGTTCAAGATAAGCCACTAACTGTACGTTTCTGAAGTAGTTCCCGCGCACTCCATAAAATATTAATGCGGATTAGATGGCGCCACCAGACACTTTAGGGGAATATTTTTATGGGAATTATTTTATGAACGATTTCGTACGGTAATATAATGAGGATCTTGTTTTTTGAGTGTATTTGAGTGAGGTTTATAAAGTTTGATGGTAGTGTTCAGTCTGGGATTGTATCTGACGTTTTTTATACGTTACGTAAAGTTACAAATAACGGACCACTGGAATGGAGGTGTTGTGAAAATTATGTATTATAATATTGTATGGTCATCAAGACAAACAGTGGTACCAAAAAACAGATCAACTTATCGTCAGGAAGGGGTTACGTCAGAATAATTACCAAATATTAATTAGAATAATTACTAAATACTTAAACAAATAAACAGGGCAAGCTAAATAAAAGCATTTAAATTCCTTTTACTGTAACACTTTCTTTTCTTCTTTGGCAACTATGTAATACGTATAAATCAATTTTCAACCAGCACATCTTTGTCAAATTCTAGTAGTAAGTCCAATCCATGTAACTTAGTTTCAACCTTACCGGCTCTTGGGTATTCGTAAATTATAAATTCATTAGGTCCACGGGCTTCACTTGTGTTGTCGGTAAACAGTAAAACCAGGTCATGGGCTACATGTGTGCAAAATGCTACCTAAATTCGCCTTGCATTCCTCTTGCATGTTTTCTTGGTATAGGGATGATCGTTGGTAAGACGACGTAAAACCTTTATTTTAAAGATAGTTGTTTTGGGTTTAATTATGCAATTATTGATCATGAATCTAGTTATAAAAAACCTACTATTTTTTCTTGTGTTCTGAGTGCGTTTATAAACATACTATCCGTAATCGGAATTGCACAAAGATTTGGTACGTATGAGAATTGAAACCAGGACGATTATGACCCAGCAGATGATAGTCCAACCACTGGGTGTTGTTTTTACTGTTTTTCTTTCTTTCTTACTGTGTCAACCGTGCAGACAATAATTACGATGGGGTTTTATTGAAAATCTCCGTGACGCATAAAGACATTAAGTATATATATTCTAATGAACTGAACACAGAATTAGTAGCCAGAAAATTGACAATTAAACCAATAAAACCACTAAGATTTGAACGATGATAAAGAATAAATAATTATAAACATTTTGTTCTTCCACAGCAATTAAACGCTCTCAACAAGGGTGAAGAAGATGAAGAAACGATCAGTGTAGCTGAGATGAGGTCTTTGGAAGGATACGACGATAGTCTCAAGGAAGTTGCTGATTACCAGTTCTACGTAGCTTACGACTTCTATGCGAAGAATAATTCTCATTTCCACAGATCACCTTACTATGGATATTACCAAGGTAAGCCAAGACATAATGTTTTGTACCATTATTGGTAGCGATACAGTTTGCCACCCCTTTGTCGGCGCGTCTACTAAAATTATTGCCGTTTTCACCAACCATCCCAAATCCATCTCTTAACTTAAAGTTACCTAGCATACCGGAACACCTACACTAAACCCTTACTTGTACTGCTAGGTGTCACCTATACGTTAGTGAAAACTTTAGGGGTGCCAAAAATTAGGATATGCTGGTGAAAATGGGTACTGGTTTATTAGATACAGGTACTTGTTTTATAAAGTATGGGACATAAATTGTAAAATAGGTGTAGATTAATAGTATGTAAGTGTATATTTAAACTCTATAATGGATATGATAATAAGTTATTTAGATTCTGATACAGAAATAACTGAATACATTCTAAATAATGACTTGCAAAGACAGTTAATTAATGGGAGCGTTAAAAATAGCAAATTGTTATGAAACAAAATATACCTAATAATATGAACCGACTTTATCATATAGAGGTACAAATACCTGACATAATTACAATTATTATAGTATTACACGAACTTCCCTAAAATGATTGATGTAATTATTATGAAACGAGAAGGTCCCAATTAAAGTACGGAATAATGGTTCTCTAATAATTTTGCAATTCATCAAGTAAATAGAGGTATCTAATTAAAACCATTCATGGAACCTCGACCGATTTTAATGACTTATTTTCCCCACGAACTCGCAAGAGATTTTTATGAGTAATTGCTAATTCTGTTTTCATTAGATATGATTTTGATTGAGTTAGTAATATCAGAGAGGAATCATATAGATAAATAGAAGCTATTTTAAAAATAGCTTTCCCTCCCTTTAATATTAAATGTAATTTAATGTGATTTTCTTTCCATTACAGTCCCAGTGAAGACAAATCGTTTGTACACACCACAACTGAACCACATCAGTATGAAGTTACCTTCAAGTCCACTGCTCACCGCAAGGCCTTCTACTGACAACTTCTGCAACGCTTCCAGCATCGACGAGGCCTGCACCGAAGGCTACTGTGAATGTTCCCACGTCTTGGCAGTCAAACTAAATTCTGTAGTAGAAATTATCATCGTTGATGAAGGTGTAACTTTTGATGCCAACCATCCATTCCATCTCCACGGACATAGCTTTAGAGTAGTCGGTCTCAGAAGACTTGCTAAAGATATCACTGTTGATGAAATCAAGGCATACGATAAAGCAGGTTTGCTTAAAAGAAATCTAAAGAATGCTCCAATTAAGGATACAGTTACTGTACCTGATGGAGGTTATACAGTCATCAGATTTAAGGCAGACAATCCTGGGTACTGGTTGTTCCATTGTCATATTGAGTTCCACGTTGAAATTGGTATGGCTTTAGTTTTCAAAGTAGGTGAACATAAAGATATGGCACCAGTGCCAAGAGATTTTCCCTCATGTGGTAGTTACCTGCCAGATAACATGTTGGAACATGCAACTACAGAGAAACCAAAGAGTGATGGTGCAATTTCTATATCACACTGGTGGCCTGTAGTTTTTATAAATAACACATCAGCAAGTACCAGTGTGCAAGCTTCTGCATTAGCCATCGTATTTAGTATATTGTTATCGACCTTTTTGAAATCATAGTTTCGAATTTTAGGTTTATTAAACCTGAATTCTTGGAATTAATAATCTGCAGTATTGTTAAACTCAAGAATTCAGTCCTCTATTGGAATTTGTACTTACTTATTATTTATTTCTTATAAAGTGTTAGTATATTGAATATTTTCTTTGACACGAAAACGAAATAGCTGTTATGATAAATATAAATTGTAATATGGATGTTTTAGAGAAAGTTAATGGCTTTAATAATATTTTTGGGTAAACCTAACAATGGTTATATCTGCTGTTACATTAGCAGTGTTAGGAATAGTTAATTAGGGGATTAACAAGAATTTCTATGCCGTCAGTTTTGTCTTGCCTCATTCAGAGTAATCAAGGTAATAAATAATTAGCGTTTGATGTAGAGATTGTATAAATATTATCTCATCACCTTTGAGCTTGAGAACATGAACATTTAGATTATCTACGTGTCATCAAAATGTCCTAAATTTTTCATACCGTTGTTTCTGTGTTCATGCTTTTTATTAGTTAGTAAATTGTCTGTTTCAATTATTATTTTGTCTGCTATTTCATCGCTATTAGCTTCTTCTGTATATTGAATAGTACTTACTTATGGATCATTATAATCATCTGCTTCATCGCAAATATTATTACTTACAAGAGATTATTATATAAGTCTGTGATTGGTTTTACGAATCGACCAAAAAATGGTAGTATTGAACATTTTGTAAAAATGTTTAAAATATAATTGTTAGACGTCGTTGATGATATGTGATATTATTTAGTTTTATAATTTTAATGTAATTATTAATTTTTAAGTATTTTATAAAGGAAAATAAGTACACTTACCTTCAGGATATTGTTGTTTTATTTTTTACATAACTTAATTTGTTTTTTTTATTTATAACATCCCAGTAATTGTACAGACATGGTATTGGGCATGATAAGCTTACTCTGACCCACTGATCTATCTTATTTTTTATTGGGCCACTCCGCTACAACCTTCCAAAATCACTGCAACTCCTATAAGCCAGGATCTACAGTAGATACAACCATGAAAACACCAGAAAATTGAAGTCTGGCGCGTCCCAGGGGCATGATTTAGGGTGCAGTTCCATTGAGACGGAGCGGAGCAGAGCGGAGAAGAGCTGTGCCGCGATTCACCAATCAACTACAACCTATTTGGCGGAGTGGAGAAGAGATGTGGATTTCAAGCCATGTGATTGGTGAATCGCAGCACAGCTCTTCTCCGCTCTGCTCCGCTCCATCTTAATGGAACTGCACCCTAAGAGTCTTGGATCCTGCAACAAAATAATTCAGAAGATATTAATAGATTGCGTCGTTGGCCGAGTGATCGCAAGTGCGACTGTCGGGCAAGGGGTCTCAGGTCCGATTTCCGGGTCGGACAAAGTATTACTGGGTTTTAAAAAACTCAGTAGTAGCACGGAGCCTGGAAATGTGCCCGGTATATGGCAATAGGCTCACCCCCCATGACATGGGGCTCATAACATAAATAGTGAAAAGTGTGTGTTACATTGTACAGTGGCATTTAGTGCCGAAATGTGCACCTCTGCCTACCCATTCATGATGGTATGTTATATGTTATGTTATATTAATAGAAGAGAAGAAAAAAAACTGTATTTTTCACTTCCTTCGGTGAATTTATATAGAGGTATGAGAAAGAATGACTTAAGCGTAAAGGCACATAATTATCATATTTAAGCCTAAAGGATCTAGGTAAGAATGAAAATATCTATCATCGACAAGTTAAATATAGGTGCATATTATTTATTCACTGAAGACTAATTCAATAAACCGCATGGTACCTAATCCACGTGATTGAAAATTAAAATATTCATCTCACCCCATCTTTTCGGGGAACCCAAGGCGTTATGATTAGGGCATTAATACATAAAACAGGTAAAAAGTTTAACAAAGTTCCCTGACCTTTTGCGAATGAAATTTCCAAGTATTTTGAGGTAACACAAACAAAACTAGATTGCTACGATCAATCAAAACTTATTTTCAAAACACATAATAAGTTTTCTGCTTCGCTCGTACTAATTTGATTTTGGTTTTTGATAGTGGAATTAATTTTACAATAGATCAATAACAATTTTGTTCGTTAATAGTAGATAACAGTTCCGCTTTGTACACATGTGTTAAAATGACTGAAACCACATTATTGAATGTTTCATTAGACAGGACTGTGTCCATGATATTCTCATATACATAAACTTGATTTTATAATAGAGTGGATGCTTAATTTTATTTTAATGTCCGTCTAGTGGATTATTTTAAATTATTAGACACGTATATTTTATTTTCTTACGCAAACGAATACCTCAGACGATATTATATTGATTTGAAATGTCGTGCGTTCTACGTACATTTTATGAATGACGTTTGTGCCCCCACTCCTAAACTTTGATTCGTTCACTGACAAATGTTAGTATTATTTTATTATACAACAAAATACGTGTCTAATGTTTTTTAATTACCTAACTTACGGACTAAATAGATTTTTAATTTTCAATCCCCGTCATCATCCCAATTTTGTTTTGATTTATACTGTATTTGAGGAACGCTCTACTAGTTTCAAGCCACATGGAGACTTATATTCTTGGGCTGCCTTGAAGGTGTGATGCCGGCGATACTACGCATCTAACTAAATAGATAGTAGACAACCTCATTTGTTTGATGTTTATAAATATAAGTCCTGAACTTGGAATTTTCACTCTGATATATTTGGCAACTAAAAAACTATGAGCACGAGGCCCTAAGTTCGAACTTCGGGCTGAGTTGCAAACCAAAGAAAGTACTATGGAAATTGAACCTTGTTTCACTTCAGCACTTAAAACATAATTTTCTTTGATTGTCGCTCTATCTTACTTCTCATCATAGTAAGAGATTGAGCCCAGAGATTACACCTGTACTCTTTACTTAAGTAAGTTATGCACTACAAAAAATCAATTCCTCTAATAATCAGTTTTGTGTTATTTTAGTTGTATAATCTCATTCGATCGTGAAAATCAGAAGGATATATTTATGGGTAAAAGTCCAGATAGCTTTAATTGCTGCTGTCTAATTGGTGGATTGTTCGTCTGCGAGTCACTGAAGTGGTCAGTAGAATACCAGCGCAAGGCCGTATTGCACACGCTGAACTGGTCCCATTTCACGGCAGGACATGAACATTTGCATCAGTACCTACTAATAGAATAACATATCTGTACATGTCACTTATTTTTTTATCGCGAAAAAAGATTATTTGTTTTTTTTTTCAGATGGTGTTATTGTATTTTATTTTTATAATACAATGGCTTTCTTTATGCGGTTTTGATATAAAATTAAAATAGAAACTCCATACGATATTATAATCCTATGTTTACTGGGACAAAGAGATTATTTTGCACACAAGATTAATCTTTTCATGGACATAATTTCAGATTCGCCCGGACGTCCGTTTCAATCCGTTAATCTGTGGTGCCCGCATTGAGGGTAGTATAATCATTTGGCTGCGCGCTAATTAGATATTTAATTATTAAATGTCGCGAAATTTGTTTTGCGGATATTTAATAAAATTTGCGCTTTCTCTGGTCTCGTTTAGGGGCTTTATTGAAAAGATACTGTGTAAAAATTAGTAATGTATAATAAAGAACAGGAACAATATGAGAGGCAAATGTTATGATGATATTTAGATGATAATAGATGATATAAGTCAATAATTAGTTATCCTATTTTTTTTAAAAATATGCGATCACACTAAATATTTGTCCAGTGAATTTTCAGACTTGGGTGCATTTTTAAACACACCAACGTATTATACACAAAAATAAATATATTTGGGGAAAAGTAAATATTTATACAATATTGTGTTTATAGAATCGAAGCACTAACAATAATGGCATTATGGCAATTGGCGCACCCTATACATAGGCCTTATAACCATTATATATTGGTATCACGTGGTATAATGTGCACCTCTAGCAACACTTTCGAGGTGGGACGATATTTAAAAAAAAGTGTTCTTTATTGAATTCTCCAAATTCAAATAAAAAAAAAGAAAACTAAAAAAAAGACTGCGTGTGAATACAGATCACAGATTCACAGACGAATCGCATCTCTAGGGAACTTTGCCAATTAAGATAACAGGGAAAGGTCTAAATCAAGTCGCAGAAAGAAAGGTTGGACCAATAAATATGGCAGAAAGATGGGTGGTCTCTCCTTAGGGTGGATGGGAGAAAAATGGGCCTATGTTGTCTGCTATCGGAGATCTTTGCTTGCGTATATTACGGCGTGTGGGAGCTAGTTACACCGAAGTTGAATTTTAACTGCCGACAAAAACTATGGGATCCTTTACCAGCGTCGATCACCATTGAACGACAAGGCATTCAAAGCATTATTTGGTTTAATAATCAGAAGTTTCATTAAGAACCTTTTTTAGGTAGGTGGCTTTTGGGCCCAAAATAATGCGCGTGGGAGAGCCATGCTTCGGCACGAATGGGCCGGCTCGACCAGGGAGACACCATGGCCTCACAGAAAATCGACGTGAAGCAACGCTTGTGTTGTGTTTCGTCGTGAGAGTGAGGTTACCGGAGACCCAAACAAAAAATAATTATATTGAAACTAGTTTAAAAAGCACGTTATGAGTCTCAACTGGATTATGCTTATTAATAAATAGTCAAAGTTTCCATCAGCGACCTTCCAATTCCATTATCAGTCCAGATTGATGATACTACAATGTTACATTGTCATATAATATGCATATGTGCGTGTCCTTGTGTACTATTTGGTGAACAAAGAAAAATGTATTTTGATGAAATAAATGTCTTTAATTTCAGTTCCACAATACTTCGTTATTACTAACTACGTACTATGTAGATGTCGAGGCAGGGCGGTGTGACGTACGCGACTGGCGAGCCGAGCGCCCGCGCTCCCAGGTTTCGACAATAATGCAACTCAGCAATTTGCGGTTACTAAGCCGCCACATCACACCCCCTCTTTCTCAAAAAAATTTTTACATAAAAAAATTTTTAATTTACCTATGTATGTTTAACACTAAAACCACATGCTTACGTCACTAATACAGTGCTCGGACGTCTCTAAGCTTACAATAACATTATATACCTGTCAGCATTCCAACAGTTGAATGCTGCCTATTGTTTATACCCTGCAGCTAAAAATAGATTATAGTACTCCTTACTTTCTAACATGTTCGCGGATTCCTCATTGCCTCAGCTCCGAACCGCCTTGACAATATAAAAATATATATACTATTATGTTATTATGTTATTAAAAATATACGTTAAGGGTAGTTACCATAACCTCCGCTCTGCAATAATTAAATAACACCACGAGGGTCGGCAGCATTGGTTATGGTAACGCCGTTGACTAAATACATATAATATAACTTACATTTCTAGGGACACAACTTATAAGTAGACATTTTAGTAACACTTGTTTTCACAAGATAACTTTTGAACATTTCACAACACCGTCTTTGCTACACATAACCCGAAACAGTCGCGGGTGGTACCTGGTTGCTCACTGGTTGTCCTGACAATATCAACGGAACTTCTCTTCTCAACCAGTCTCTCGCATGGCCTACGCAACCTCTCTTGATAGCGTAACATGACAATATGACCACTTATAACTTCTACGTAATCCTAAATTTAATTCTAGAGTCACTACACCGTAGGTTCTGATTTCTGTATTATTTGCTGCGAAAAGCTTATACGTGCACTCTTGTTTTTGTTTTGATCTCACTTTACTCACAGGTATCACTGACACGTTAGCACCCGTGTCGACAAGGTACACAATTCCCGTTTTGTAGTCTTTCACACAAAGTCGGTGGTTCCCCGCGGCACAATCTTCCACCGATGCTGACTGCACCGCGTCTAGTTTTCCTGCTTCCGCTGCTTCTTGGCCCAGCTGCACGGTGCTTCACACGTCCGCGCATTGCTCCTGTAGCGGTAATGGTGTCTGCATAGCCAGTCGGGAGAATCTGGTGTTCGCCGCGTCCGGCTTTTGGATCTGGGACGTTGTTGCCATCGCCCACCTCCGTCTGTGTCTCTTGCGCTGCCTCTGTTTCTGTTCCTGATCTCATTTATTTCTCCACGCAATTCCTTCATTTCCATTGCTAATTCTTTTAAGTGATTAGCTACGCTGTCGTTTTCGCTGGGTCCTGCTGTCGACGTACTCGGCGTTATAGATGCAACCTCGCCGCTTCCAAGGGTTTCTAATATTTTATCCGCCTTCTTGGCCATCTCCTCCAACTTGGTATCCTCACTCATTGCCAGTAGTGCGCGCACATTAGGTGTGAGCTTGTCTAACCATAGCCTCTTGAGTGGTTCTTCTGTCAGATTGCATTTTTTTGCTAGCGTTGTCATCTTCCTGAGTAACTGCGACGGTTTTTGTGTGCCCAGGTCCATTTCGTGCATCAATTTCTGAAATTGTTTGTCTGCACTCTCTTCATAAACCAACAGTAAGCGCTCTTTTATGATCTCGTACTTGCGTGATTCCGGTGGTACTTCGATAATATCGGTTACCTGCTGCAAAACGTCTGTGGGTAATTTTGCCAACACCATGTCGTACTTCTGCGTGTCGCCTTGTTTCTGTGGTGCCATAATCGCCTCGAATTGACAGAACCACGACCTCGGTAGTTCTCTCCAAAATTCTGGAACTCTCATTTGCACCGTAACCATCGCTATGTCCGCTGCCGTTGCTGGAGTAGCGCCTGGAGTACCAGGTACCAGTTGCGGGTTCATTTTGATGAGCGGATATGTGCGCGTTGCTTAATAACCTCACTTCTGCACTTTGCACCACGCGGTTCATATGCCTCTGCCTCGAGCACTTAGTGAGTCGCCTACTCTTTTGTCACACGAAATTACGTAATTTGCAAACGTCGATGGGTCACCAGTGTTGTGCGTGTCCTTGTGTACTATTTGGTGAACAAAGAAAAATGTATTTTGATGAAATAAATGTCTTTAATTTCAGTTCCACAATACTTCGTTATTACTAACTACGTACTATGTAGATGTCGAGGCAGGGCGGTGTGACGTACGCGACTGGCGAGCCGAGCGCCCGCGCTCCCAGGTTTCGACAATAATGCAACTCAGCAATTTGCGGTTACTAAGCCGCCACACATATAATTGCCAAGTTTCATAACGATACAACAATTAGAAAAGCGTGTTGACATCTTAGTCCCTAAAACGACACCAATGTACTCTTTTACTCTGGACCATATTATTACTCCACTATAGACCATATAACATACTGCAATGGTTAGAGACTACTTTTTTATGAACAAGTTTGGTTTTAAAAAATGAACAAGTAAACTTACACTACGGTGTGACGTCACCGACCACGTCCCACGTTTTCTTTAGCCTGGTAAATAGACATTAGCTTTGATAGAATTGAAAGATATTGATTATTTTCTACCATTAGGTGCAGATTGAGTGAATGTACGTAATTATTTATGCTAAAATGAACCTTAGTGTATTGATGAAGATGTGAGAAAAATACTCAATGTATTTTGTAGACGTTTATTTTGAAGATGGTCTGATGTTTTCATGGAAATTAGTACTGCTTTGATTTCTTTTTGAGTGTTATATTACTTTGATTGGTTTAATGGCAACAAGTATTAATTTGTACCCATAGGAACTTATGTATGGCATTAAGTTAGCTTAACAATAAAAAAACATTAAAATTTGTCACATGGGATGACTTACTTATTAATAAAAATTTTCGAAATTTTAACTTTTTCCTATAATAGAGTTGAGAAATAAATGCATGTACTTGCTATCTTTTGGCGCACACCACAGAAAAAAAAACAATATATTTTTCTACAAAACAACAAAGCCAACCACAATTAATATTTAAAACACAGGAAAATTAGAGCAAGCGACAACGACACAATAATTATGTCTCATAAACTCCTTGGTACACCGCAGAGATCCGTTTTCTTAAAAAAAAAGAAAAAAAAGTAATAATAAATTCCCGCCATTAAGCTCGAGCGCGGCTTGAAACAATAAATAATGTTGTAATTAATTGTCCTCGTTAGTAAAACAGGATATTGAAAATAAAATATAATGAAGGAAATTAAAATGGTTGACACCCGGCTGTAATGTGAGACGCTAGGAAAAATATGGACTTGGTTTACTGAAGGTTATGAGAACATTCATCATTGGATTATTTATTTGAGGAAAATGTTGAGAGACAATGTTTGCAACCAAACACTTCTAAGTTATAGCTAACAGTGCCAAGCACGAATAACTATCGCATTCGTAACGTAATAGTATCGAGTGCGTTCCGCGCTCTGATTGGCCAGCTTCAGTAAACCAACCAATCATAGCGTCGAACGTACATACAAATATTTTTTTGGTATAAGCAGATACACGAGCAGACGGATCACCTGATGGTAAGGAATCGGCGTCGCTCATGGACACCTGAAATACCAGAGGCGTTGCAAGTGCGTTAGCGGCCTTTTGGGATTACGAATTTGAGGATTGTTGGGGAT